TTTTTTTTTTTTTTTAAACTAATCAAAACTGATTTATTTGAATATTTTTGATAGAGGTGTTGCAGTTTTCGCTATGGGAGAGGTAGAACAGCGTCCCAGATTTGAGTTACCTGATATAACGGGCAATCGTACAGGATGGGGGCCCTCTGGAACCCTTGATCGGTTTCAAAATTTGCCTTACCAACAGTTCAATAAAACTGACAAAATTGGGAAAGTTGCAGACTGGATTGGTATTAGCCAGTTCAGTGACCGCTTTCGAAGTATGACTTATCCTTCCATTTCTTGAAACAAAAGTTGCTTTTATTCTAGAACGATGATAACCGCAAATATTAGATGCATCAAATTACTAATTAGTTCGAACAGAGTGGAAAATAAATTGATTTGGATACTTTCCAGTCCTTTATTAGCAAATCTTTTTTCTTTCAAATATTTCTTAACACTGCCACTTTGAATTGCAATTTGCGATATTAAGGAGAACGTTATGGCAACCCCTATGCCTCTGGTACGGTGGGATCACAGTATGACTATATCCACGATGTTGAGGATGCAACATTCCAGCTAGTAGACTCCAGTAAGCCACAACGATCCAACATACAGAGAAGCAGCAGGATGCGTCAGCAGCAATTATTTTATGTTAGTTACACTAGTAAAAGTAACTGATCGTATCATCCTAAGTGAAAGCAAATATATAAATTTCAGAAAAGATTGGTGCAAAAAGAAACTGAAAGACGTAACTTGGCAACTTATGGACAGAACCAAAAGATTAAAAGAAGTATTGCTAAGTTGGTTTTCCACTAATTAGAGTTCCATACGAATAGTAATATTACCTTAATAAAGAGATGGTGACTTTCATACATCTCGACTTACTAGCTTTTCTTGTCACAGAGAACAGCAAAAAGCTTTCAAACAATGGCAGAGACGTGGAGGTGGTGCAGGTCGTGGTCGTGGTTACGGTCGATATGACCAAAGAAGTCAGAAGCAGTTGGCAGCTAGTATTGCCGTCCGGCAAGAATGGCAAGTTTTGGAGGAGATGGACTTCCCAAGGTTGGCGAAACTCAGCTTACCAAATGTTGAGCCAGGACAAGACATGTAAGTAATCAATGGGTTATCGTATGGTTTGCTGAGAATTTGTTCTGTAGCATTTAATACTCAACTAATTTTTTAGGACACGATTTTACAATAACTCCCAAAAGTAATTAACACTTTTGTTCATTCTGTTTTAGCAATGGTCATCGATATGGACAATTATATTATTATGATAAATCATTTGACCGAGTTACCGTACGGACTGAAAAACCTTTGCAACGTTGCGGGGGGACATTTTATAATCTTACCACCACGGAGGATCCCGTTATACAGCAGGTGGAACTGGACTATT